TGCAAATGCATTTTCGTTTACAAATTTACGTGTCTTGTTTACTAATCTGATTATGTTTCCTATTGGCTAGCAGCAAAAAATAGAAACACCCATTTTCTTACGAAAATGTAAAAAAATACTTATAAGGCATCTTCTACGTGTCAGGACATCACTTTTCTCTCAGTCTTAGTGTTAGAAACTATTCTTTTAATTTTCCGTGTAGTTCAATACTAACATTTTAAAAACGAAAATGTCTTACGCAAATATTTTTAAAAATATCTTTGATGCGGTGTACGGTGCTGTAGGAATCGAAGATTTTTTCCTTCGATTCCTTATTAAACAATTGGTGCTCCAGTGCGACGATCCGGCGATTATTAATCAAATTGCCAACATTGTGAAGGGTCAACCAGCCCTCGAAGAAATTGTCGAAGATCGACGTGTACGTGTGATGTCCAATTTATTATCCCGGTCATCAACTGTTGAAGAATCAGCACCACCACCATCAACACCACCACTACCATCACCACTGTCAACACAACCACTTCTTGCTTCTGGTAAGTTATTTTATTTTTACTTTATAAATGTAAAAATAAAAAAGCAAGATATTATATTTAAAAGATACTAACAAATATTTTTTCTGTTTTGTCATGCTAGATTCGGGGTCTACAACGCAATTTTCATCTATAGAATCAAGTTTATTATTTTCTCAACCGTTTCTAACATGTGAAGAAGAACAACGACAAGAACCAACATCAGAAGTAAGTTTTAGTGCGACGACACACATTTATAATGATGTGAAAAATGAAAATCAGTTCAAAAATAGTGCAGTGAGTGATAATTTACCAAAGCAAATTCCGGCAAGTGTCTATAGGGCAGTGATTTTATCACCTCCTGATCACGCAGTGTCGCTAGAACGTCAAAATATTATGGAGGAGGGATGCCTGCGGATTGTTGTAGATTTGCAGGACAGTTCAGATTCTGATTGCAGTCAAAATAGTAAGTCTTTTTAAAATAATTAATACTTATATAAGAAAGTAGATATGGTCATTTTTTAAAAAAAATTAATGTTTGTCATTTATATTCAGAGTTAGCATTTGTACTTTTTATGAAACACGGACTAGTAACAACTCTGTATAATAAAAGTACAAGTGTCAACTCTGAATTTTAATGACAAGTGACAACTCTGAAACACGGACATGTAACAAATCTGTATGAAAAGTACAAATGCCAACTCTGAATATAAAAGACAAGTGACAACTTTTAAACACGGGCAAGTAACACCTCTGAAAATTTATGTGAAGATGTCAAAACCATTTTAATGTCATATGACATAGATATGGATAAAATATACACATTCACTTCTGACAATGGGAAAAATATGGTAAAATTAGGAGAATTGTTAAAGAAAACAGATGATGAAGATTCTGATACTGATGATGACATCGTAATTGAAAATAATTTACAAAATCTGGATTTTAATATCACCACAACTGTTAGATGTACGACACATACGCTGCAACTTGCCGTTTTAGATGTCCTAAACGACAGTTCCATTAGGAACATAATTTCAAAGGTAAAAAAATATGATTTAAATAAATTTAAACTAATTACTTAATATATGAATTATATGTATATAAATTTGAAGTTCATTTGCAATTACATCTTCGATTTTTTGGGAACTTTCTTTTCTTTTAGTACTAATTGAAACTAGCTTTTATGATTTTCTTCAAATTTTTTTGGGAAATTATTTTCAAGATATGAATTTTTCAAAATTTGAGAATTTTAATTACTTTTAATTTTTGAATTCTCATAACTTCCTTAAATGGATCAATTATAAAAGTTTTTTTCAAAATGTGTGTTTTTAAACGTACTTTTCAAAAAGAAAATCTAAAACTTTTACAAATGATATTACTATTATATTTTTAAGTTTTAAAGATAAAAAGTCATTTTTCTCAATTGACGTACTGATAGATTATTTTCAAAATTTTTTCAAAAAAACTATTTCCTTTTAAGAAAATTTTAAGCCTAGTGCGATCGTGGGAAAACAATTTTTACAATATTTACGGAATTTTTAAAAAATTTGTGAATCTAAAATTTTTTAAAAATATTTTTGGTTTTTTTTTACACTACGTAGGGGAGAGCGGGGCAAAGCCGCTGATGTAACATTTATTTATAAATATTATTGTTATTACACCTTCAATTGACGTGATTTTTTTTTCGATTTTATCTAAAACTAATTAGTAACAAATTTCAATAGTAATTATTTAATTTATTATAAGCTTGATTAATTAATTTAATTATTTTCAAAGAGATGCAAAAAAACGGCTTTGCCCCGTATGGCGGGGCAGCGACGTTTTTGCTTATATTTTTTAAAGGAAGAAAATTATAGCCATTAAAACTGTACGAAATTGCAGTAAATGACCTAATATCTTTGAAACATAAGTATTTTATACATTTTTTAAAGAGTTTTAAGTTATTTTATAAAAAATATCAATACTTGTATTTTTAACCTCACATTTTGAATTCAACTCTTTACTTTTTCGTTGAAAAGTCTACTTTACCAACTGTTCAAATTCAAAAATAATTTAAATAACGGCGCAAAAAAAATATTATGAAATATTAATATTATATTTACATAAAATTGATTATTTTTTTTAATGTTAATAATAAATTTGAATACTAATAAATTAATTTATGTTCTAAATGAAATATTATTTTAAAATTATACTATTTTAATATATTATATAATAAACACAGATTTTTTACATAAAAATAACTAATTTCCTTTATTTTATTTTATTTGATTTTGTGAAATAATGTAACATGATAATATAGGTAATGTAAGATAATAACAATAATAATAAAAAATAATTAAATTGAAATATGTAATTTTTGAAAATAAATAAAAACAATTATTTATATTAATATTATTTTATTTAATATTAATTTATTAATTTTAATTTATGTTTTGGTTAAAAAATCAGGTTAATATTTGTTGACACTTGATTCATGTGAAGTTAGAAAAACTTCATATATGAAGGTAATGCAGATTTTCATTTTCAACTGTTTTTACGAAACAGTTTTTAAACGGCTTTGCCCCCAATGACATACATTTTTTATTTTTAAAATTTAATTTATTTAAATAAAAAATAAAACCTAAATTTCATGCAGATCGTGTAGATAAATGTTTCATTTATTCAAGCAAAAAGTTTTTAAGACCTAAGTGCTTAAAACAATTTTTTAAATTTGAATCTTCGATCAACGAAATTTTCATCTCTTCCTTGCAAAAACTATTTTTATGTTATATTTCCTAATATATTTAATATTTTTTAGCTGTTTCTTTTCCAATCTATTGCTTTAATCGTATTAATAATAAACTGTTAACGAAAATGGTAATAGATTAGAAAGAAAGAAGATATTTCGAAAAACGCCTTTGCCCCGCATAGCGGCTTTGCCCCGCTCTCCCCTACTTTTATTTATTTTGATGCGCTGATTACGAAAATCATAGTAGCAATATCCGAAAATTTGGTTTCTATGGTGAATACAATAAAAAAGTCCTTAATTTATGACTTTTTTTGTTTATTGGGTAAAATATGCAAAATTTAAAAAAAACTTTTAGACAAAACTTATATATCTTATTAAAATACATTTTTTATGTCCAATGCACTTTTAGAAAATTTTGCATATTTTACCCAATAAACAACAAAAAACATCAATTTTAGGACTTTTTTTATAGTCTTCACCGTAAAAAATAAAATTTTCGGGTATTGTCACTACGATTTTCGTAATTAGAGCATCAAAATACATAAAAGTACGTAGAATAAAAAAAACCAAAAATATTTTAAATAAATTTAAAAATCAAAAAGTTTTAAATTTCCGAAAATATTGAAACAATCGTTTGCCCACGATCGAACTAGGCTTAAAATTTTTTTTAAGAGGAAATATTTTGTTTGAAAAAATTTTGAAAAAATCGATCAGTACGTCAATTGAGAAAAATGTTTTTTTTCTTTAAAAATTTAAAATTTAATAATAATATCATTAAAAAAAATTTTAATTTTTTCTTAAAAGAACGTTTAAAAATACACATTTAAAAAATTTTTAAATTGATTCATTTCTAAGGAAGTTGTGAGTATTCAAAAATTAAAAGTCATTAATGTTCCGAAATTCTCTTTCTCGAAAACGGCTTGCTAAAAAAATTAGAAAAAAACAGGAAAGCTAGTCTCAACTAGTACTACAGGAAAAAAAGTTTTCAAAAAAAATCGGAGATTGCAATTGCAGATGGACTACGAATTTGGCGTGGAATACATCATATATATTTAATATATATTATCTTTTAACATTTAACATTTTTTTCACGAAAAGAAAATTTATCTGGAAGAGCGATATGTTGCTCTAGAATAGCGAAAACTTTCTTAGTTTTAGTGAAATATATCGTTGTCCCAGAAAAACTTATCGCTGTTCGATGTAAACATTTTCTTCCTTATTATTTGTTTATTTTAAATAATTTTACGTATAATAATTATAATCTGTTTAAACTTTAAACAATTTGAAAAATATATAAAATTCATAATATATTTTTTAAATTAAAAATTAAAATAAAGTCGGGTAATTTCTTCTGTTGAGAACAGCTTCATATATGTACACTGAAAGAAAAATGTATTTGATTGAAATAATCGGTTAATTGACTATTATCAAATAAATATTTATTTAAAACAAATAATTTTATATTAAAATATTAAATATTTCCTTTTTTTTAAATATTAATTTTTTCATAATTATTGTAGGCCCGAGGTGAAGTTAAAGTTTAAAGGAACCCTACAAATGTGAGGGCATTAAAAAAATACAATGTGAAGAAACCCACATTGGATGTAGTTACAAGGTGGAGCTCAACATGTAACATGTTGAGTTCCTTAATTGCAGCTAAAGAATATTGTTCCCATTTACAAACTGATAAGCCTGAGTTGGCCTTTACTCAAGATCAGTGGACGCAAATAGAAGATTGCTTGAATGCCCTACAGCCATCAAAAGTGGCAACATTAAAACTGCAATCTAAAAACATCGTACCAGGAGATGTGTTAGCAGCATGGATTGAGTGCAAACTCAGAACCAGTAGAGTTCGCATTTCATTCGTAAGAAAATTGGTAAACTCTCTTGAGGCAAGAGAGGTTTACCTCATGGACAATGAGGCTCTGCTAGCATCGGTCTTCTTAGATCCAAGGGACCTACCACTTTTAAATCAGGCAGAATGTAAAACAGCAAAAGAATTATTGAAGAAAATATGGAATAAAATCGATTTAAAACAAGGAGACACAACAAGCACAATAAATACTTCATCTTCATTTTCAGAAGAAGATACAGAGGTAATTATAATAAACATAATATAATAATAATATTGATAATATTATTATGGCAATCCTTTGAGAAATAAATTTTTCAAAGTAAAAAAAATTACACAAATTTTTTTTTGCTCTCATACTTTTGCATTATTTTTGCAATTCCCTGAAAAATAAATTTTTTAAAGTAAAAAAGTAAAGAAAAATTTTTCACTTTTTTACTTTAAAATTTTTCTTTTTCAAATGGTTGCAAAAATATTGAAAAAGTATAGGAGAAAAGAATTTTTTTATTTTTAGGGTTCCGTACCCGAAGGGGGAACCCTATTAATGAGACTAGTGAAGCAAGGCATGTACTCCCCCCCCTAGCGGCCACACAAATTTATCTAGAGGGCTGAAATTTGGTATACATATGGGATGTTCCACGTCAAGAGGACCAAAGCTCTGCCTAAAATTATACGCAATATAAATAAACTTATAATATATGAAAATGTTCGTACACATGTAAAGTTTCAAAAAATGAGTGGCAAATTAATAAATTTATAATAATGCTTTTGTTATAACAATTATAAACCATCATAAATAGAAATGCGTAAGTAAAAAAATTTCTCATTCAAAGACAAAAATTTTAAATTCTAAAGTCATTGTTGTTTTTAATGTTTTTGGGGTAGCTGATTACGAATCTGATGTCACAATTAAAAAATTCAAAATGGCGGATCTAATATGGCGGTCGAATTTGAAAAAAATCGTCCAATTCATTTGAAACTTGTTACTCGGGGGTTCTTGTTGTCGCTGATTACGAATCTGATGTCAGACTTGAAAAATATAAAATGGCGGATCCAATATGGCGGCCAAATTAAAAACAAATCGTCCAATTCGTTTGAAACTTGTTACTCGAGGGTTTTCAGGGTCGCTAATTACAAATCTGATGTCAGAAATAAGAAATTGATTATGTTGAAACTTAAACAAAGAGGGGATCCTTTATGTTTATTTCATAAACATTTTGCTTCCTCATTGTGTAAAGCAAAAAATTTGCTTCCTCGTGGAGGAAGCTATGAATTTTTCTAATTCAATTGATTGAATTTAAATATTTTGAGTTAAAAATTGATTTAAATTAATAAAAAATTTTGGAAAATTGAGTCGCCGGAAAGTAAAACCACACATAAAATTCTGATGGCCATGTTAATTCAATGGGAGTCAGAATTTTATGTGTGGTTTTACTTTACGGCGACTCAATTAAGAAAATTTCAATTCATTTTGGGTGTAACATATACTTTATATTATATATACGAATCGATTCGTTTAAATGCAAGGAATTCAATTATTTTATTTATTAACTGGAATTTAAAAAAACACAAAATTTTTTAGCTAAAATGTGAAATTTTGATTTTTTAACATTCATTAATTCTTTAAATGTGACCGCCCACGATAAAACAAGGCTTAGCTCCCAAAAGTAAATTTCACATGGCAAGCGATTAAAGTAGAAGCAGAAACAAGGAACACGCTTGACATGCCAGTCTTTAGAACGTTATAGTGTCAAAAGTAATTGACATAAACAATTTCTGACTTTTGCATGTGAAAGAGCAACTTAAAGTCTATCGATTAGCATCAAAAACTCAAAATTGATTTTTTGGGAGCTAAGCCTTGTTTTGTCGTGGACGGTTACAAATGTCAATCAAATCTATACTTTGTATATACCAATCGATTCGATGCTATTTTGAATGTCACTAGTTTATTTACATGGGCTAGAGAGCACATTAAAACGACACGATTTATCTATTATACAAAATAAGACCATAAAATAATTAAGCGTTCATATAATAAAAGATTTTCCAAAGCTCCTTCTGCTACAAAAATCCAATCAGCAAACTCATTCATAGTTACTTCAGACAAGAAGCTAGTAGTATTTAGGTACTCAAATGCAACCACATCACTCGCAGTTATCCAATACTAGAGTGGTAATGAGTAACTGCAAAAAATATTTTGAATACGAAAACCTATAATTTACAAGATCCATACAAATGATTTTTTTATTAATATTTTTTCTTTAATCTCTCGTGACAAATTCGTGATCGGCAACTTAAAAAGCTCAGAGGAACAAGTTTAAAAGATTTCTAATAGTCTTTTTTAATCCGCCATTTAAAATTTCTTATTTCTGACATCAGATTCGTAATCAGCAACTCTGAAAACCCCCGAGTAACAAGTTTCAAACGAATTGGACGATTTGTTTTTAATTCGGCCGCAATATTGGATCCGACATTTTATATTTTTCAAGTCTGACATCAGATTCGTAATCAGCGACAACGAGAACCCCCGAGTAACAAGTTTCAAATGAATTGGACGATTTTTTTCAAATTCGACCGCCATATTAGATCCGCCATTTTGAATTTTTTAATTGTGACATCAGATTCGTAATCAGCTACCCCGAAAACATTTAAAACAACAATGACTTTAGAATTTAAAATTTTTGTCTTTAAATGAGAAATTTTTTTACTTACGCATTTCCATTTATGATGGTTTATAATTGTTATAACAAAAGCATTATTATAAATTTTTTAATTTGCCACTCATTTTTTGAAACTTTACATGTGTACGAACATTTTCATATATTATAAGTTTATTTATATTGCGTATAATTATGGGCAGAGCTTTGGTCCGCTTGACGTGGAACATCCCATATGTATTTTGGCGTGTAGATTACAGGAAAAATATAGCGAGCACAATTGGAGTTGATGTTCATATTGTTTTTAAGGAAAACTCATTTTTTTAGAAAAAATCATGGATTTTTCGAATAAAAAAAGAAGAAAATTTTATCCTAAGGGATCCAAATTTATACATTTTTACGTATTTTTACGTGTAGATTACAAAAAAAATATAGCGAGAACGATTGGAGTTAATTATCATAGTGTTTTCAAGGAAAAACTGGTAATTTTCGATAAAAATCATGATTTTTCCCCAAAAAACAAAGAATATTTTATCTAAAGAGTTTCAAATTTATACACTTTTACATATTTTTGCGTGTAGATTACAAAAAAATATAGCGAGAACTCCAATTGTGCTTGCTATATTTTTTTGTAGTGTTTTGCCATTCTTTATAATTTGCCATTTTCTTTTTTTTATCATTTGCTATTTTTTTTATCTTTTGACATTTTTTATTTGTTGATATTTTTATTACTTGGTGAAATCTAAAAAAAATCATAAAATTGAAAATGTTAAATGATAAAAAAAATTTTTAAAAACTTATGAAATGTATTTCCATGCTCAAAATTAAACAAAATTTGAATTTTTCCATCGGCCTTCACACTTTAAACCCCTCAAATTTTAGGATTAGGGGTACGGAACCCTCGGTTTTAATGCGAGTGTAACTCGCACTTGTCCGATTTTGTTTTTTACATTGAAAAATTTGTTTTTCAAAGAAAAAAAAATAAGAAAATTATTTTTTCTCCTATACTTTGGCATTATTATAGCAATATTTTAAGAAAGATATTCTTTAAAGTAAAAAAATGAGAAATTTTTTTTTCTCTCATACTTTTGCATTATTTTTGAATCCCCTGAAAAATAAATTTTTTAAAGTAAAAAAGTAAAAAAAATTTTTCACTTTTTAACTTTAAAATTTTTCTTTTTCAAATGGTTGCAAAAATATTGAAAAAGTATAGGAGAAAAGAATTTTTTTATTTTTTTTTACATTGAAAAATTTGTTTTTCAAAGTAAAAAAAAGTAAGAAAAATGTTTTTTCTCCTCTACTTTGGCATTATTATAACAATCTTTTGAGAAAGATATTCTTTAAAGTAAAAAAGTGCGAAAATTTTTTTTTTGCTCTCATACTTTTGCATTATTTTTGCAATCCCCTGAAAAATAAATTTTTTAATGTAAAAAAGTAAAAAAAAAATTTTTTTTAACTTTTTTACTTTAAAATTTTTCTTTTTCAAATGGTTGCAAAAATATTATTTTCGCAATCCTTTTAGAAATTTTTGTTTTCAAAGTTCAGAAGTAAGAAAAAAATAATTTTTTCTTATACTTTTTTTTAAAGTAAAAAAGTGAAAAAAAATTATGTCCAATCTTTTGCTTGCTTTTTCCCAAAGCGCGTTTTTCACGCCGGACATTATTTACATTTAGGTTTTTTTATTTTTAGATGATCGAAGACGAAGATGATTCGACTGATCTTCTTCAATTAATGATTAATCAAAAAGATGCTGAGCGTCAACTGAGGTTAGAAGCAACTTCTTCACCGATTGAGGACATTTTAAACGAAATTTCAAAAGTTCCCAATATTTCAAAAGATGAAGATATTTTGAAATATTGGGAATGTAGAAAAGATGTACATCCCCAATTATATTCTTTGTCAAAAATTGTTCACGCTGCCCCCATGACTCAAGGAAGTAAAAAAAGAAGGGTTGAAAATATAGAACAAATTGCGTCAGAAGAAATGAGCACTGGCAGTAGCAGCACTGTTATTCTGTCTTAATGTTCAAATTAATACATTTATACACTGAGAAAAATATGCTATTGAATCAACAGCATTTCTGCCAAAGGTATAAATTATTGATTCTAAAGCATATGCTATAAAATTTGTAAAATATTTTATAGATTCAATAGCATATGCTTTTGAATAAATAATTTGTATACGTTTGGCAGAAATGCTATTGATTCAATAGCATATTTTTCTCAGTGTATGCAAACTAATAACGTTAATTTAAATTTTTTTATATTTTTGACTATATTTGTGTAAATAAAAAAAACAAGCTCATTAACAAAATTAGACTTTTAATAATATATTCATTCCTTATATCCACACCTATATTTATTTACATTTTGCATTTATTTTTTATTTTCACTCTTGAATAATATTACATTTATTTTTATATCAAAATTCATATATTATTTTAGAGTTTTAAAATTTACAGTTTTTTTTATTATTTATTTCTGAAAAAGTATGCAACGAAAAAAAAATATTCTTGTATTCAGAGAAAAATTCCTCTTACAGAATTCTCTTGCATTTTATTCTTAAAGCAAGAGTATTACTCTTTAAATGAGAATATTTTCCTCTAATTTCAAGAGGATCGAAACAAAAGGACTATTCTAGAGCATTCCTCTTCCCTAATAACACAAGATATCTTGGGATATATTGATAATATCCCGCAGATATCCTAGGGATGTCCTATGGATATCAAAAGGATCTCTTAAGGATATCCAAAAAATCGGCGGTTTGGATATCCTTTGGATATCCCATGGATATCTGAGAATATCCATAGGATATCTTCTGGATATCTCTATAGACTTTCATAAATGTTCTCCAGATATCCCATAGATATCGTAAGGATATCCCAGAGATATTTTCAGGATATTCTCAGTATATCTTCTGGATGTCAAGAAGATATTCTTAGGATACTGTTTTTAAAGTCATTATGAGACTACGAGTGAGAATAGTCTGTGAATTAAATTTTATATAAATAAAATAAAATGCAACTTGTTTTTTGAGAAAGTTGTTTAATTTGAAAAATTATTAATAATATTGTCATAAAATAAATTGGCTTTAAACTATATAAATTCTTCCCCGCAAATAACGAATAACTATTAATATTAATTAAACATTAAGTTTATTTAAAAACTTTGAAAAATGCGTTTCAAATCTTCATTTAAAATAAATTAGAATCTCATAAGATTTTTGTTTTTATTATATTATTATTCATTATATTAGCTTAACAATTTTAACCTTTTAAAATATATGTTGAGATATTAAATATCCCGTGAATATCCTAAGAATATCCCACGGACATCCTGAGGACATCCCATATATATCCCATGGATATCCTGCGATATAATATCCAATAGATATTTTGTGGATGTCTTAGGGATATCCAATGGATGTCCTGTTGATGTCCCAAAGGCCGGCGGTTTGGATATCCCAAGATATCCTGGGGACCATTCTAGGATATCGACTATTAATATGGATATCCTATGGATATCCTAGGGATATTCTTTTGTTATGAAGGTTATATTCAGAATAATCTTCTATGTTTAAGAATATTCCTCTAAATTTTAAGAGGATTTCCCATAGAAAGTCGCTCATGCGCAAAGATGATTGCGTCATAAATCGCATATCATGCGTGAAAAAGTTTTAGTTTCTGTGTGAAAAAGGGGAATAAACCAAAATGGATAATAATCTTTTAAATATCTTGATAGAGTTGCAACTTACTCAATATGTGCCTATTTTTAAAGGTAAAAGAAATTTTTAAAAAAATTTAAATAATTTTGAGGTTATGCTATTTAAAATTTTATTTTAATACGATTTTTATTTATTTTAATTTTATTTAAAATTTATTTGAAATAAATTTTCAAATTTAATGAATTATATATTTTGCGCATAAAAATATTATTCAAAATAGATTTAGTTGATTTATTCAAAAAAATTAAAATCAATTTCAATTTATTTATACTCAAATATTTGTAAATCATGGAATAACAAATTTTATTTCTTTTAATTTTATAGATTATATCTATGACATACAAACTAAATGATTGGATTTTTATTATTTCAGAGTACTTTTTAAGATGATATTTTTCTCTTAAAATAAGAGTATCCTCTTAAATTAAGAGGAATAATTTTACATAGAGGACAATCCTCTTAAATCTAGAGGACATCCTTTTGCAGCATATACTAGAAGAAAATATGTATTGAAATAAGAGGAATCCTCTTAAAACAAGAGGATTTTTTTTCGGTGAATAATATATTCTTGCAAATCGTGTATTTGTTACTGCTACTTTTTTTATTAAACTGTAACACTTAATCGTTACATTTACTATAACTAAAACACTAAAAAATAACGCGTCCTCGCACCGTTAATTTTTCTAATCAATAACTTGTAATCGTTGCCGTTACTATTTCTTAAAAGTAACGCATAATCGTTGCCGAAAAATTTTAAATAAAGTAAAGTATTACCGTTACTTTTTTCTAAACAGTAATAAATAATCGCTACCACTACAATTCTAAAAAAAGATGCGTTCTCGTAAAGTTACTTTTTCTAAGCTGTAGCCTGTGACTGTTTCCGTTACTTCTTCGAAAAAGTAACGCGTTACCGTTATTATTCTAAACAGTAATTCATAATCATTACCGTTAATATATGGAAAAAATAACGCGTTCCCATTACTTTTTCTAAACAGTTACGCATAATCGTAGCCGTTAATTTTTTCGAAAAACGAAACACTCTACCGTTACTTTTTCTAAAAAGAGGTTTTCTGTAAAATACCTAGCGCAATTTTTTTTGGAAATATTAAACCTAACCTTTCACCATGTTACCGTTACAATTTGTAAAAAAAAGTAAACAGTAACTTTTAATCGTTACTGTTACTTTTTTAAAAAAGGACGCGTTCTCGTACCGTCACATTTTCTTAAGCTGAGTGCAGAATGAGCACGTTACGTTACGTTATAACGTTAACGTGCTGACGTCACAATGCTATTTCAAATGTGTGACATCACACGTTAACCTTATAACGTAACGTAACGTGCTCATTCTGGACTCAGCTTTAGCAGCAGCGTGTAGTTAATACCGTTACTTTTTCTAAAAAGTAACGCGTTGCCGTACCATTTCTTTCTCTAAGCAGTAGCGTGTAATTGTTACCGTTACTTTTTCTAAACTGTAACGAATATTCGTTGCCGTTAATTTTTTCCAAAGGAACGCGTTACTGTTATTTTTTTGCATGCATTAACACATAATCGTTACCGTTACTTCTTCTAAGTAACGCGTTACCGTTACTATTGCTAAGCAGTAACACTTAATCGTCGCCGTTACTATTTCTTAAAATTAACGCATAATCGTTGCCTAAAATTTTTAAAAAAGTAACGCGTTACCGTTACTTTTTCTACAGAGTAACACATGATCGTTATTATTACAATTCTAAAAAATGATGTGTTCTTGTTCCGTTACTAATACTAAAAAGTAACATATTGTAGTACCGTTATTATTTCTAAAGCATTTTCGTACCGTTACTATTTCTTAAAAGTAACGCGTTACCGTTACTTTTTCTAAAAACAGGTTTTCAAAAAATATGTAGCGCAATTTTTTGGAAATATTAAATATATCCTTCTACTATGTTACCGTTACTTTATGTAAACAGTAACAAATAATAATTGCCGTTACTTTTTCCAAAAAGTAACGTGTTACCCTTACTTTTTATAAACAGTAAAGCATTCTCATTACTATTAATATTTCAAAAAAGTAACTCTATGCCATTACTTTTGCTAAGCTATAACACCTTATCGTTGTCCTTACTATTTCTAAAAAGTAACGCGTTCTCGTACTGTTACTTTTTCTAAAAATTAACGCGTTCTCGTAATTTTTTTCTAAGAAATAGCGTAGAATTTGTTATCGATTTTTTTTCTCAAAAGTAACGCGTTACAGTAACTTGTTTTGACTATTAACAAGAGAGAGAGAGGGGGAGAACATACAATTTTTGTGAATATAATTTCGATAGATGTTTCCATTTTTACTTATTTTCACTGAAAACATTCCCAATGTCTTAATCGTTATTGACAGGTTGTTTAAAGATAGATTTAAAAGATTAAGACAAAAAATCATTCTCCTACGAATTATCTAAATGTTATAAATTTGAAAACTCAAAAGTTTAAGTAAAAACCGATTTTCTCACGGTGTTTGAAACTTTCTCTTTTTTTATATACATAAGTCTAACTAACAAAAGTCAATGGAAAACTGCAAAACATGTGTTAGTATGTGCTGGCCAGAGCCGAGCGCAGCCCTTTTTTATGATATTGCCTGCGATCGACCCTGGTGGGCGCATCTCATCAGGTTTGCAAGTTTCTTCCTAAAACACGGAAACTAAAAATATTACAGAAGACTTTGCTTTTCCCCCTCTTTTCTCACATTTTGTACATTGAGTAAAGGATAAGGCCCTTTTTCTCAAATCGACCGCTCAGTTCGCTTTTGCCTAAGTACTAGTTAACTCCTCGCAAAAGTTGCAACTCCTACAAGAGTATTCTCAATCAAGTACGTTTATAAGTTCTGAGTTATCCTTACAATATTGCTATCGCAATCTTGAAATAGAATTTATACAATAAAGAAAAGTGTATAACATTCTGGCAAGGTCCCTTTTATGTACAAATGTGTTAAGTCTCTCCCTTGTGGGCCCTTATGAGTGTAGTTATCCCTGCAAGGGACCATTATCGACCTTCCAGAGGGTTATCTTAGTTCTTTTGAAAAAAGCTCAATTTGTATAATTTATGTTTTAATTCTATTTGTTTTAATAACAGAACAATAAACTGATATTTTGTGTATTTTTTTTGTGTGTTTCATTTTTTTGTGGCCTTTCTTAAAATAAATTGATATTCTCCAAACACAGGTACTTATTGAAACATCCCCCACAGCACCGAAAATTTCCTAAAGATTTATTTGCAAACTTCGGAAACTTTAATTGCAAAGTTTAGAGAAAATTGTATAAAGATTTAAATGTCCAAAATGAATAAATGTTTGGCGT